ATTTTGCCATATTGTGTCAAGCTTTGTTTCCTATCTATCACATATATATGAATTGGTTGGTGAAGACTTGCTATATTCATTTAAAGAACACTGAATCTGAACCTTTTGATTTAATAACCAGTGCATTCCTACTGTCAAATCTGTAATAAAAGATGCCTCTTCTACTAAAGTATTACAATGCAACATGATGTAGTTTTAGCATCAACACAATTATCAACTTTTAGTTGAAATGATGCAGCAGCTTTTAATAACAGATTTTATGATGCTCTTGAACTTTAGGTACAACTGAACCTGAATACACTATTGATAGTGGTGAAGTGGAAGGTAGCGGGAGTGACGAGGATGATGTCATTAGTGTTATCATTCCTGGAATAATAGATGATTGTAGATATGCACCACATGGTTGTTGTCCGGATCACATTACTCCAGCAAATGGACCGAACTTTTTTGGATGCCCGACTATTATTGCTGAAGATATTGAAGTTGAGATTGCTCCTGTAGTCGGTGATTGCCGAAGTAGTCCATATGGTTGTTGTTCAGACGGACGCACTCCCGCATCTGGACCTGGTGGCATTGGATGTCCTGTTGTTGAAAAAGAACCAGATACTGATAGTTGCAGAACTACTTTCTATGGTTGTTGCCCAGATAGAGTGAGGGCTGCCCTTGGACCTGGTTATTTGGGGTGCCCTGGTGTGATTCCAGAGGAGGTTGATAGAGAAGTTATTCCCATCGTTGGCGATGATTGTCTCAGTACTCCATATGGTTGTTGTCCTGATAGGATCACTGTCGCTAATGGTCCGGGAGGAATTGGATGCCCAAAAATTGTTGAGGAAGAGATTGACCGGGAAGGGGTGCCAGTTACTGGCGGTGACTGTCGAACAACACCTTATGGTTGCTGCGCTGATGATAAAACTCCTGCCAATGGTCCTGGTTTTATCGGATGCCCACCAGTAGTAGAAGACGAAATAGACCGTGAGGTAATACTAGATATTGGAAGTGACTGTAGGTCCACATTCTTTGGATGCTGTCCTGATGGAGTCACCGTTGCTGGGTTTAATAATGATGGCTGTCCATCGGTTATTAATGAGGAGATTGACAGGGAAGAGGAACCGGTGGTTGGAGAAAACTGCAACTCAACACCATATGGATGTTGCTCCGATGGGATCACACCTGCATCTGGTTTTGATTTCTATGGATGTGTAGAAGATGAAATAGATGTAGAAGATTCACAGGGTTATGGATGTGTTACAACTAGATATGGCTGTTGTTTAGATGGTATTAATGCTGCACTGGGAGCTAATTTGTTTGGATGTCCAGGTAAATGATTATTGTTCAAATTATAGCACAAAATCAGTTGATATATTTAAAATACTTATTTTTTGTTCACTTGGAATTTTTTTGCTCATTTCATTGCATAATGTGAAGACAAAATTACACAAAGTCATTGATTTTGTCTCAGCACGGCCCCATACAATTTTCACTTCTACAAAATTTGACTCTTGAATATAGCGAAATCAATCTCTTGCGAAATCAAAGCAGTTTGCAGTGGTGATATGTTGGAAGCACATACATTTCTACAAATTGCTGTTGCATGTCACATTTACCACCAGTTTTTGTCAAAAAAATAAATAAAATTACAAACGCCTTTTGAGAACTTTTTTTACATTCCTGAACCATAAGGAATTAAACAAATTAATAAAAATTAGTTTTTACACTCTAAGTAGACCTACATGTACTGTCCAGCATCAGTTTTTGATTACCATTGACTTATAGCTTGTGAAGCCATTATTGAATTTCTTTGATTTTTTTTTCAGGTGCTCGTCCTGCTTCTGTTATCCCAGGACCTTCGGATATCACAGTGGATGAAGGTGATTCTATTACTTTACAGTGCTCTGCCTCTGGTTTACCTAAACCGCAGGTAGAATGGATGAAAGGAAGTTACAAAATCAATGACCTGAACATCGACAACTTGATAGATATTGGAAATGGTTCATTTACCATAAGAGACATTGCAGCAGAAGATGCTGGTATCTATGCATGTAGTGCGTACAATGGACTGGGACAACCGGCAATCTACAGAGTGTTTGTCACAGTTCTTGGTAGGTACTCAATCTCTTGATACATCAATAAATTTAACGAGGTTCCAGTCAAATTGAAGATTATATGTCAAGTTTATCATTCTTTCATTAATATGGGTTCATGCCATCAGGATACGTAAATGTCATGGAAAATGGTTGAAATTGGCATTTTTACAAAGTGATTTTCATCACAAGATTATCTATTCATATTTCAACATTTTGCTTGGTAACATGGATTAAAAAAATGCATATTTCACCATAACTCTTGATATGTTATGTAATACTATTATCTCCCACAATGCATAGCATATGTGTAGTAACATGTTCAGTAGTACAAAATTTGAATTCAGATCAAACTTGCTTTAATAACGCTATATCATATTGTAATTATGTTATCATGCTCTAAAAAGTAAAAACTGTTTTCATGGGGAAAAATGTTTTGAAGCATAGCAAATTATATATTTTCTTGAAGCCTTTGTTCCTGGCTTTTTGAAAAAAATGATCTGCAACATGTACCACGAATTATTCACGTGATTACTAAGTAAACATAGAGGTGTTATTTTGTATAAAAACCGTAGGGGTTTTGTAAAAAAAGAAAGCTGAAAAATCAAGGCAGCATCAGCCCCGTCAATGCCTCGAGAGTGTTAGAACATGGATCGCATATTTGTTTACAATTACATCAATTTACATTTTTTTATTATTTTCACCCATAGACAAGGAATTTAAAAGCCTTTTATTTTTCATTGCGAGGAGTTATCAAAAAATGCTTCAAGGGTTTTATTTTATGTCAATACGTTATCAATGTGTGTGAATTTCATGAAAGTAGGTCAATTTCTGATGACGCACAACTCACTTGAATGACCTCTGTGGCGTCAGATATCTTCTGCCTGAAAACGCCAAAAAACAAAACATTTGTCACGTTGCGCTAATTTTGGACATTTAAAGCATCAGATTGACTGATTTTTACAACAAAACACATATCATGGAGTCACTTAATAGCCTTGCAGTATTAAAATCTAAAACTATAAAGTGTTGGGCCCGTATTCCTCTAAAAAGAAGCGAAGTTGTTACAGTACACAGCGGCCCCGCATAACGTTGAACAGTTAGAGAGATAAATGACGTCATCTCATTATATATTCAAATCATGTTTACATGCAAAGCGTGGTCTGTATAACAAACGCTTGCCTAGTAACCGGAGAAAGAGGTCGACATGCCTAAAAAAAGTATTTGTGATCGCTAGATTGGTCGACAGATGTTTTAGCTGGTTACAATTATGAAAACTGCAGAACGGTTTTCCGCCATAAATTTGTAGGTGAGTGTTGAACCCTCGGTCTATGCAACTTCTCAGGACTGTGGGGGCCGAAGGATCAGTGGAAGAAGGCCAAACTACAGGACTGTACTCAGGGCTAGAGCCGGAGTTGATATGACCGTGTCGTCTTCAGTGTGCACTGTTTCCGTCGTGAAGGGATTATGCAAATTACGCAATAAGTCAATGTTATTGTTTGCATCCAGAC